GGAGGTCCCCTCACCACGTACAGGAATTCACGTCAAAGGGTCAACTCTTGGGCTACTCTTTTGCCAACGAATAGTGGGAGTGACCGTCACATAATAACACCCCCATGGCTGACAGGGCGAGTATGCTTGGTGGAACGTGGATTCGAACCTGTGACCCACAGTTTGCGAGTCAAGTGCCTTAACCACCTGGTCATCATATTAGAAACTTGGTATAAAAGTACAAACGTTTGTACAAGTAATATAATTCACTAGGCTTACCTCTGGAATGACTGTTATCGTAGTATTATAATCCATCAGCCTAAGTCAAATACAAGAACATCACAACCACGTTTCCATACCGGTAATAAAAAAAACAATGTATATTTTATCCTCAGAATATAATTTGGCTTGCAAAAAGAAACGGGTTAGCAAATCGTAAAAGAATCGTAATGTAAGAATTGTAATCCCTTGTTGTACTCGGGAAGTTTTTTTAAAAAAAAACGTACTTGTGGCAAGAAAGTGTCTTCCGGTGGAACAACGGTAAGTATACGGACTTACAACGCTAAAATTCGGAGTTCGGTTCCCTGCGGTGGACACAGCAGATAGCACATTGTGGCTTTGCTCTAAAACAAACCAACAGACAACAAGAAAGTTTTAAGTAATAATTTTGTTTTCTTAGTTATTTTACACTTGCTAAGATTACATGTAAAACCTTAACGTTAGCGTATTAAGTTTTGTTAGGTATACAAAATTTTCACTTAATTAGTTTGTTTGTTTTTTAATTTCGCGCAAAGCTACACGAGGGCTATTTGCGCTATCCGTCCCTAAATTAGCAGTGTCAGACTAGAGAGAAGGCAGCTAGTCATCACCACCCACCGCCAACCCTGGGGCTACTCTTTTACCAACGAATAGTGGGATTGACCGTCACTTTATAACGCCCCCACAGCTGAAAGGGCGAGCATGTTTGGTGTGACGGGGATTCGAACCCGCTACCCGCAGATTGCTAGTCGAATGCCCTAAACACTTGGCCATGCCGGGCCGCATTTAATTAGTAGCTGAAGGTTTTAAAAACAGCTAGAGAAAACTTGAAATTACTTAAATAACGAAAGAAAGAATCTCCGGAGGAATTCATGACCCGGATGATAATAACAAACAGTATATTGAAAAAAAAGCAACCACGTATAAAAGAAGAAATTTAAGCGATTATAATATTAGGAGAAAAGTCTCCAAATAGGAAATTAAACTTGGGAAAATATACTACCCATTTTTTAATATAATCAATATAATTCGTGTTTTGTTGTAATTTTCCTCTTCATACTCAATAGGTATACATTCGTAATGTCAAACGATGGGATTTTTGGTTCTCTTGGTGAGAATGGTGAGTGGAAAGGACTAATTGGAATGGTTCTCAACAAGGTAAGAATCTTAATACAAAAGTTCATATTTTATAACCTATTTTTAAGCAAGCATAATCGCGAAAATTTTTAAAACACGTGAAAATTCGTATGTAATGTATTAAGTCTAATTTTAAAAGACAACTGAAAGTTGGTTGGGTCATTATTAATTATTTTTTCGTTTATTACTTAAAGCAGCGTTTCCCAAAATATGGGGTGCACTCCCCCCCCCCCCAAAGGAGCTAAGTGGTCTCTTGAGGTGGGAGACGAGCGATTAAAGTAAAATCAATACTGCAATATGCAAAATTAATGTTTTAATATATTTTCTATTGATTAAAATGCTATACGTGTTGTACTATTGTCTTGTTATTTTCATGTCTATCCATGTATTACATCTTCTCCTAACTCACATGGCCCGCCGGTTAGGGCGCTTGACTCGCAATCTGAGGGTCGCGGGCTCGAATCCCCGTCTCACCAAACATATTCGCTCTTTCAACCGTAGGGGCGGTATAACGTGATGGTCAATCCCACTATTCGTTGGTAAAAATAGTAGCCCAAGAGTTGGCGGTAGGTGGTGATGACTAGCTGCCTTCCCTCTATTCTTTCACTGCTGAATTAGAGACGGCTAGCGCAGATAGCTCTCGTAGCTTTGCGCGAAATTCTAAATAAACCAAACTTAACTCACGTTCATTCATTTAAAAAAAAGAAGGAAGCGCTCAAGAAACGATATTTATTACAGGTGTGGTGTGGATGACAAAAGTTTGGGAAACGCTGACTTAGAAATCAACAAAGAACTTTTTACCCAAATAAAATGTCTATTTCGTATTAAATGAATAATTAATTATACACACTAGGATTGGCACAATGCTATTTGGTTGGAATTATTATTTGACAAATAAGTTATTATGCAAATACCCTTGTGTTAATTTCACTTGGTATCAAAATGTACGAAATCTTTCATTCATTAAGACCTTTTAACACTTTGTCTGTAGAAAAATCATCAGGAACATAAAAGATATACTAAGTAAAGTATGGGTCAAACATGGCGCTTTAGTAATAGTTGACAGCGTCGAAAATACATCCTAAATTGTACTAACCTATCGTAGAGGGCTCGAATTTAATATGATGACTAAACCTAATTTTCTTTATGTATTAAGCATCAGGAGTCTTCTGAAGTCTGAAGAAGCCGTCGAAGAGATACGATTTTACTAAAGCGTGGTTTACAAGGAGTACTCAATGAATCAACAAAATTAAGTGTATGTTCAAGTGCAGTTTTAAAAGTCTTAATGAACAATAAAATAAAACATTTTTCACACTCATAGGAAGTGAACCTCGCAGCTGTTGGCTTCTCCGTGACGCCTCAACGTTCGAAGGTAGTAGACTTCACCAACAGTATAGACGAAGACCCTTATGTAATTTTAGTTAAGCGTCCTTCAAAGGATAACCACCTGTTGGTGTTAGCACCATTTACTTGGGAGGTAACAGACACATAACTTATTCTTAGATAAGGAGAGAGAGAGCGGTGTATGATATGATATTGTATAAGTAGGGTAAATAAATAAAAAAGTTTTTTGAATGAATTGAAACAATATGATATTGTATAGGAATAAATGCGAAGTCAGTTGTTATTTTCTAGACTAATAAGGTTACCTCGTAATGACAAACTCCCTAATGCTATTTGTGTATTCAGAAGAATGACGCCGTTTGTGCACCAAATGATATCTGCAAGTACTCTTCCTGACCGAAATATTTTTTCCATGACCTGTAACAGCCATGACTCTAGTCAAACACAAGTTTGTTTGTTTAAGTTTGATTTTTTCCATGACCTGTAACAGCCATGACTCTAGTCAAGCACAAGTTTGTTTGTTTAAGTTTGATTTTTTCCATGACCTGTAACAGCCATGACTCTAGTCAAGCACAAGTTTGTT